CAACAGCAAGCTACTAGGCGCGTTGCAGTCCAATGCACGCACAGACCATGGAGCTCCTTGCACAGACCATCATTAAAATAATTCAATGGGTAGTGAAGAAAGGGGCGATTTTCGCCCTTGGAGTATTTTTTTAAGGGCGCACAAAGTGTAGTAGGCGGGGAATCGCGCAATCGCGCGTCCTAGAGTAAACACTGTGCTAGTCGAAACACCAGTAGTGCTTCGGCACTTAACAAACCTGCTGTTCCAACCAGACAGCGCACTACCAACGAGCCCAGCGGGTATCACTTACACGCATAGAGGCTCTCATTAAACCTGCACATACAAAAGCCTTATCTGAGCGGGCTGCCAACGTTCCTGGCCAGGGCAAACAGGGATTCCACCAATGCAGCCTACATAGCTATGCTGCGAGCATACACTGATTGGTGTAGAGGAAGGGAAATTGATCCATACCATCCCTCTATTGGCCAGGTAGCAGGCTCCTTCGTACACCTGTTTGACGAAATTGGGTTTGTCCTATGCAGCGATCGTTGGCTACAGGTCAGCCTTGTCCCCCCACCATTGAGAACGTACAGGAGTTGTGTTGTAAGTTGTGCTAAAGACACGAATCGGGTTTCTCGCCTAGAACCAAATCCCAGGACACGATCCTCACCTGATCGTCATCCACCGGCTGTCAAATTTTGTCTGCCCCAAGGGTCAGGAGGAATTGCTTCTCTGCTCGGTTCGAGCACGGAGTTGCTACCAAACCGTACTAAGGATTCAGGATGTCTTTGTGTTACGGCCCAGGCAGGCAGGACAGGCCGGCCTCCCCACTTCCATTACCAGGTGGTTTACTGCGACTGTATTAGAGGTCTATAATACTTTATTTTCCTCGACAGCCATCTATTACGTCGTCATATGGCCTTGGTCATGTGGTTCGTGACGTAATGGAAAAAGAATCTTGGGGTCATGGGGCTTCCTCTGACCTAGATTCTATCTCTCCATCACCGGCAGAATCACTGATTAATGCCTACAGTTCAAAATAGTCATTTTGACTGACCGGAGTCTATGGTAGGTATGAACTATGTGAATAGGTGGGTTCGGACCCTCTGCCTAAATACATTTCAACAAAAGTTCCAAAATTTTGCCTAAATGTTTCAATTCTGATTCTGGTGATTCATGGCAACAAAAATGAATCCCCCACACAGTTGTATCAGATTCGGAGAAATGTCCAGACATGATGATGTGTTCTGCTTTAGCTTACACATTATCTTGCAATACTGCCTTCATCTCATACAATATCATTATTGTGCTGTGGGGTATTCATTATTGTTTAATAAATGCAGTTCATTGTTATGCAAACTGGAAAAATGTAATGATAAATAAATAATGTTTTTGTACGTTCTTAGGAGCTGGTAATTTTGACTGGCTGTACAATGACAGCTTTGAACCAAAAGATGCATTGAAAATAGCTCATTTACATAAAGAGAGAACTGAAACAGAACGTGAGAGTGCATCAGAGGTAGAGGAGAGGGTTAAACAGACGGAAAGCCAGCTTGATCATTATGACACTTCCAACAATGAGTCAGTTCAAGACCGTCATTATGTGGTCAAGAAAAGGAAGTTTCATTCGCACGGAAGATTTTCAAGTGATGAGACCCATTCAAACTTTGAAACAAAAAAGAGGAAACACAAAAAACAAAGTAAAAAGAAGAATAGACATTCTAGTGAGTCCTCTGACACTGCTGATCACGACAGAAGAAGGAAACATAAGAAATCACATCATAAGAAGCAAAAAAAACATCACAGAAAATCACCAGTGATAAAACAACACATTGTCAGGTAAATGCTTTATTTGTCTGCTCTGATGATTTAGACGGCATAATGTGAAAATAATCATGTGAAATTGGTGATATTCTGTATAACCTTGTTGTACTTTTCACAAAGAACTATTTCTTAAATGTTAAGATAGTACTATAAGAGATCATTTATTGCAAATAAAATTCCTATATTCATTCAGTATTATGTAAAGTATACAGTATAAAGATACAGTAATTTACCTGAGTGTGTTTTTGAAATTTAAAAAAATAAATATTCATGGTCAATTATTGTAAGTGTGTATGAAATTGCATGAAGTTCACGATTCACTTGATTTTTTTTCCATAGTGAGCCTTTGAAACCAGAAACAAATTGGGTTGAAGAAACTGTTTTAAAACCTGAAGATGCCTTTCGAATAGATGTGAAGGGTGATAAAAATAATAGAGCGTTTCAGTCACTTTACTACTTGGACACTGCTAGGTACCACAGTCAGCATCGTTTATGCCTAGGACTGGGAAAGAAACAAAGTATCAAGTGGACAGATAGTGACAAAGTGCAAAAGAAAAAAAAGAACAATTCTGATCGATATTATGGGAAACATGCAGTTTCGTTACTTAATGATGATAACCTCAGGCTTTTAGATTTGTCTAAGCCGAAGTTTGAAAGCAAACCGGGTGGACATTCACAAAGTGGGAGGATGACTTATATACCACTAGGCATATCAATGGTTGAAATCACTACTGTCACACCACAACAAAGAAGTATATATTTGGTTGATCCTCTTGGCATTCATGATGCAGCAACACAGCAGTATTTACAAGGAGTTATGCAAAAGAAAGACATTTCCGAAGTACTAGAAGATAAGGAAACAGAAACCAGGAGTGAATTGATAAAGAAGAAAACGACAGAGTTCAATAAAATGACACATGAAAGCCCACATGATGTCAAAGCATGGTTGGAATTTGTTCGGTTTCAAGATGAAGGCGTGAAAATGGGAGTCTTTGCAATGGATGATTCCCCAGAGACTGAAAAAGGGAAGAAATTATCGCTGGCTGTTGCTGAAAAGAAGATATCTATTCTTGAAAACGCCATTGAGAAGAACCCCTCATCTATTGAACTGAAAGTGGAACACCTTGAACTCTGCAAAGAGTTCTGGACATCATCTAAGCTATTGGAACATTGGAAACAGATGGCCTTTCTTCATCCTAATGACCCTTTGCTATGGCAACAGTATTTGATATTTTCTCAGTCCACTTTCTCATCATTTACATTTAGTCGGACTATGACCTTATATGGGAAATGTCTGAGTACTTTACAGTCTATTGTTGGTGGTACATTTCGTTCTCACAATGCATTGCCGCATACTGAAGATTATATGATTGGTAAGTGTTATATATTACATGTACCAATTATACTCACTATAACTGTCGAGGCATGTCTAGATTATAGTACACTTTACATTCCAAATACTATGGGGTTATTGCTGAGTACACAGATATCATTGTGATCCCGTACTGATGGATTTTCTTCAAAACTTGGTACATGCTTTGGCATTAGGGACCTGGACTTGATGCACGTCATTTTGTTTTTCAGATTGTATTCAATATGGCTAACTCATTTCAGTTTTATTCACTTTTGAACATGACTTAATTGTTATCCAGAATTTTGGCCAAATTGGGATTTTTATTTTGTTCACACTAAAATGAAGTAATGTCGTATTGAATGGCCAAGAAACAAAAATAATATATTTCTTGTTTTTATGGCACTTGAGCATGAGGCGATGAGTTTTGTTTTTTTGACAGTGGATCAACACAAAACAAACAATTAAATTATTATAGAAATTAAAATATATTTCCATTGAATATCATGCTGACCTTTTTCACCTTGGCTATTTTCACCTAGAATATACTAGACAACATCTTTTGACAGACGAGAGACAACATAAGACAAATTTTATCAATGGTGCGATTACGTGTCAATAGAGAATGTACATTTGTATTGTTAGTTCTTTCTGTCTCTGATGATGTTGAAATAGTGGAATTACAGTGTATATATATATATATATATATATATATATGCCTGACACAGATTGTATTGACAAATGTACTGTGTGATACCAGTAAATTCAAAGTCTTTGAAATAATTTCTTTGTCTTTAGATTTGTTCACCCAGGAGTGTGAGTATATGAGACAGAGTGGACACACAGAGAAAGCTATTGCTGCTTTTCAAGCGCTTATAGAATTCAACTGTTTTAGTCCTGCAAAGCTTGATGAATCGACTAAACCCACTCAGCAGGTCAGTGAATATATATCTAGCTATAGCTGTGTTTGCAGATTTTCATAAAGGCAGAAATTATAATGCTAGTGTGGGTGGGTACTGTAGGTAGATAAGTTTAATGTATTTTTAGTACAATACTCAAAGTATCATGTTTATGTTATGACTTGACATGATTTAAGACAGCAAAATCTATTTGTTCCAATTTGAGTCTGACTCTTTGGTGCACCTAATCAAATTACTCAATGTTCGGCTTCAGTAAAACAGTTCAAATCGGATTATGATGTTTTTTATGCTCACAAAGTTGTAGGAATCCTAATCCCACTGATTTTCATTTACAAACCATTGGTATAAGTCACTTGTCCATTCATTCTCATTGCAGTTCATTATTCTCACAAAGTGCTATGTATATTGTGTAATTTATAGATAGCATTCTTCGAAACATTTTGGGACTCTGGCGAACCTGTATTTGGTGAACATGGAGCCAAGGGTTGGAATAAATGGATGCATAAGAAGGAGAAAGGAGGCTGGGAGGAATTGGTATTACCTACACAAGGTACATATACTTACTTTTATCTCAGGGCTGTTGTGTTGCTATTCACATACAATGGTTTAACTGTGTATTTTGTGTACCTAAGAGTGAGTAACATACATTCAGTTGTATACTTGGATAAATCAAAGCTAATTGTTCCATAAACAAATTATCTGTTTGTCTCTATCAAACTAGATCATGTACTAGAAACATTGGAATATCTATAAATTAGCATATATAATTGTGCTCCGAGTATACACACATTTTATATTTTAAACCTCAATTGTTGAAGTAAATTTTACCGCATCAGTTAGTGAAGTTCAGGAAAAAATAAATGTCATTCTCATTTTCTTCAGAGGAGAATGAAAATGATGAAGAAGATGTTGAGGATGACTTCATCAAAATTGACCGACCTGTGTGGAAGGTATGGAGTGATGTTGAAAACTATCGAGAGCAATGTCACTGGTTGCCTTGGAAACCTGATGTTAAAAGAGGACAGACTGAAGAAGACTGTGAGGATCCAGACAGACTTGTCTTATTTGATGATATCAGCTCATCATTGTTCAAAGTTACTACTCAGGATCATCAGTTTCAGATCATTTTGAGGTTCTTGCAGTTTCTTGGTGTGTCTACCTGTCCAATAACATCAACAGCATGCTATCAAAGTCAGAGATACTTTGGTGTCAGTCTTGAGCATCCTACTCAGCTGCTGCAGAATACACTATCAACATCAGAGCTTGCTTGGGCTATCAACTATAGAGGAGTTGCTTGCATAGTGGAGCCACTGCAGCAGAAGGTGCTGCTTTCTGAATGTGAATTTTCTTGCAGTTCCCATTCTAAAGATTTAAACGACTTCATCATCAACATCTTTACACAGGCTTTATCTGTACTATCAGGAGTGGCCAGGACGCATCTTACATGCATTTGGTTGCAGTATGAAACCAGAAAAGCTGCACAGATCAAAGGGAAGCGAACTAAGCATCAGACTAAGTCAGTAAGGAAGTTTGCTAAGTCTGTGTTAAAAGAAACTCACAATAGAAATAATCTTCTTCTGTGGGAAATGTATGCTCAGTTTGAATGGCAGGTTGGTAACATTGATGAAGCAAGAAAGATATTTGATACTGCACTAATGATGTATAGTCAACTCAGTAAACATACACAAAGCCAAGATATGAAACAATCTGCTGCTAAACTATGCCGCACATACACTGAACTTGAGCTTGGATTTGATGTACTGGTCAGCACGCCAACACATCATGTCAGAATCGCTCTTGACGAGTCTCGAAGAAAGAGAGCTTTACATATATTGACCAATTTTGCAGATCCTGCAATGTACACATCGTCCTCCAGTAATCCGGTCAACTCAGTCAGTATTTTGAAGGCAAGAAGTGTGTATCAAATGGAATGTCACAAATTGCTGCAAGGCTACAAGGATCTTGTTTCTTCTCATTCCTCCATGTGTGTTCCTGTTGGTAGCTGTGTTACGCATGTTGTCACTTGCTATGCACTCTTCCAGTATATGACAGTCGGCCTGAAAGCTGCAACTGTTGTTTTTGAGGAATCCCTCTCTGAGTTGAGGAACCAGTGTAAATTACCAGAGCCACCAGAGGATAGATTTACCAACATTTCCGAATACTACCTGTTAGATTATGAGATGCTTCTCACCTTATATGTCAGAGTGCATTTCTACCATATGGTACACCATCCCACTACACTGACACCTGTTAGGAATCTCCTTCAGAGAGCGCTGTCTGATTTTCCAAACAGTCCCACCTTCTTATACCTGTTCATCTTAATGGAGCTAAGGTCACACATAACAGGTCGCGTTAGACGCTATTTTGATCATGCTCTGCACGAATCAACCACACCGGTGCCTTTTCTGTATGCCATCTTTGCAGAGCAACTCAGGGAGCAGACATTTGAGCAAGTGCAAAGAAATCAAGTGGCCGCTTCAGGTATGTCAAGAAATATTACATCATATCATACATAGGCTGGCTAGGTTTCTTGAAACTTGTGAACGACTGTGTATATCGAAGCTAGCTTCTAGTCACTATCAATTATTCACAACCTATTTGGCTATGATTGTTTGTCAACCAGTTATCAGCCCTCTAATATTTTTAGTTCTCGTCGGTTTTAAGGTTGAAACTGGGACTTATATTTTAGATTTTGTGCATGTGCATATATCCATTTGTCATCATTTCTCAGACATGCCTGGACTAATTTTGTTCAAAGATATAATGGAAATGTCAATTAGCTATTCATTCAATTGACCTTTGAAGCATTGTATATACAAGGATGTGAGAAATGAAACATTGCTCATATGGCCCTTACCATGCATCATAACTTGAATATATTGTTTCATATCCATTGAAAATTGTTCCAGATGTGATTATTAGTTCTAGCTCTATCACAGTCAGAAAACAGATTTATATCTATTCATGTGTGCACAAGTCCACACATTCAAATTGAAACTTCATATACACATATATTACATGTAATAGATTACAGCATCGTCAGAATCGCACGGTCTTGTGTCTTCGAGCTATAGGCCTCTGCACGATACCTTGCGGGATCGCATAGGCTAATTGCGAATCATAAGCAGTGAGACCTGATTGGGCGCGCTTGCACGTACCAAATTATAAAATAAAATTCTACTTCCTGTTTTTGTCGCTATGAAGACATCCTTCCCACACAAAACTGCGTTGGTTGCCTGTACCTGATAAGGCTTAAGGGCGAAGTTGAGGGCACCAACATCGAAAACTTTTGCAATTTTATCATCACAAATATCACGATTCATGGGCACCGCCATTTTGTTTAAAATAAAACGCCAAAGAGAGATTTGTAACACGCAAACTGATTGGACAATGATTAGCCTCAACTGACTACTGGGGGTGCTGTTAGAATATGCATATTTGATTAGACCTTGGCTAGCGAAGATGAGATTACATGTACATGTGAACTTCCATTTGTTTGATGATCTGATTCAAGATGAATGGCAACCATTTTAATGCTAAAAATTCATCAAAATCAAGCATTTCTGCGATTTAAGAACCAGATCTTGGCTATGTATTAATGGATTTCATGGATTAATTTTGTACATAAATGAACATCATGGTACCATGATGCATGCCATTTCTTTTTTTCAGATCTGATTCAAAATGAGCGAATGTAAATACTGTTCTAGTGCCATGTCACATGTTACAGAAATGTGGTGTTTTTGGTTCTCCAAAATTTCATTTGTTTCGATGTTTTCCTCCATGGAACTATGGGAAGCTATAATTAACAAGAAAAAACACCATTGAGGGTTGTTGCACTGTGTTATGTACAATTGCTGATTCCCGAATTACCATCAGACGCAATGTAATTCTATTTGCGCATACATAACCTACTGTACCTAGCAACGAGGAAGGGTAGGTCAAAAATATAAAAAGTCAAAAGAGCACAGATAGGCATGCAACCCGGAAGAAGTCAGCGGCATATTTGAAACATTTTTTAAAGATAGCGAAGTGAGTGTGGGTGGGTACAAACAAGGGCAGCTAGAAGAACTATTTAAGACAGGTGAGAAACATGGATTTCCAGTTGCAAAAATTATTTTTCAGAAAAAATGGACTGATATTGAGATGGTACGTGTGTGTTTCACAGAGTAAAATATGACCGTTACATAGTTTTTCAACTCCCAATATACCTGCAAAAAATATGAAAATATTACCCTATAGCCAAAGATAATTTGCATGCTCGTTATTCTTGCTTCTCATGTAAATAAAATCCATGCGTTACAATTTACTGTAATTTCAAACTCGGGGCAGCGTACTTTGAACGCAGAGTATTCGATCGCTTTCATTTCGAGTGAAAAAAACAAAAAAACAACGTCAGGTGCTTTTGAACTACGTGCGGTTGGCACAGTAACGGGCAATGACCTCAGCGGTTCACATGCAATGAAATTCTAATCGAGCCAGCTAGCGTTATTGTACGGTATCATAAACTCAATAATTATTCATTCAAAATGCCTTTCACACTTACGAGTACCATGGAACACGAACATGTAACAGAAAAATAATGTCTTTTGTTTAAAAAAGATTCTGTCAACCAAGAATACATGCGCAAGGCAAGATTTATGAAACGAAACAGAAAATAATCATGTCATTGTCAGTGCAATGCAGACAGCCTAACCTGTTTTGATTAGTTTGCCCGTTTCTCGTTTGTTGGCCATTTTTTCTGGAGTGTGACACAAATGGTGAACATGATACTGCCAAATCAATCAAGAACCAGGATACGACTTGGACACGCTGAAACTTTGTAAATTGTCCTCTTTTCAATTGTAAACTTTATTCCAGTGTAATAAAGGTATACCTACATGTACCATGAAAAATTGTATCGCATCACTTTGGAAATTTACGCTAAATACATGTACTAAACAAGCGCACATATCATATTCATTTTAAAACAATGACTCATGGAATCACAAAGAAACTGTTAAGTATGTATTTCACACATTACCGAGGACCGCAGTAGAGACCGGTACAGCGGTAGAGACCCCTAATTATAATCAGTCCACGGCTCTCCCCGGCGTTGTGCGGTACACCGCGGTAATGATCGCGGTGTATCGCTCGTTTGATTTCCTACTCTTCCCTTAGGCAGAATAGTGTGCAAATTTTTAGAGTTTCTTGACCCTAGGTCACGCAAACGCAAAACTGAACATGCGAACGCTATCAATTCAGAAACTCCCAATTGAGGAATCAAAACATGACTCACAAAGCAGCATCTTGACTGTTGATGTACACACTGAATTAACTTTGATTTCTGGGGTTTTAACAGCATCACTTATTTTTCAGTCAGTCATAGTTTGCTATGAAATATATGTAAACTTCAAGTACATGTATATTTTATCTTGAGCCAATGTTTTAGAACACTTGATTGATTTCATACAAAGCTGAGAACTTTTTTTTTTCTTTGGCATGAGTTGACCTACAACAGGTCCTTTGACCCAATAGGTCAACAATGCCATTAAGCTATCAGAATGCTGTGCGGCATTACTAACAGTTTCAGACATCTTCTGATTGAAAAGTACACAATTTGTGAAAAGAAATGTCATTATCAAAATTCCAGTAGATTCATTGTAGTCGATTTCACTGTGTGCTGTTTTTTTTTTTAAAGAGGCAATTAGCAATTTTTAAAAGGTAAAACATGTGTCACCTAACGTTTTAAAATAGCTGATTACCGGTAATCATTTGCAAACTTGGAAATGTTACTTAAGTAATGTAGTAACATATGTGTTGTTTTCCCTTGTAGTATTTTTTCTGCCAACATTTTGCTTAGATATATTCCTGTACAATTGTTATATTTTCCTATAAGGCACCTTAAGTTTAAAATAATATATGTACAGATACAAAATATATTATATTATATATATATTATTATATATATACCAGCATATATTTAATTTATATCTCCAGTGATAAGCACAAGTCGTTTTTGTATTCATCCTGAATTCTTAGTCACTATGTGATATCTAGATGCTCAACTAGCAAGGTTTTATTCAGAAAAGGATTAATATAAATAGCTTTTGATGTCAACTCTTTCTATCTGACAGCTAGTCATATTTTAAGTTTACAAATGAACCAAGAGTTCTATTTTGCATTGGTTTTGTATGTTATTTGATTTAAAGATTCTCAATGCTTGAAGGATGCTGTAACTTGATTAGTTATTTTTAGCAGTAGGTGCTGAACCTTGTTCTCTGGCAATCGTGAAGAATGGAAAAGGTGACCCTTGTAGTAGGCCTTTTCATATGACGTCCTATTTACATAAATTTGCTTGTGGGCTGTGGTTATGACATGTATTTAGTATATATAGAAAAACTTTGTTAGCTGCACAGTGAATGCAAAATCTCACATTATTCGCTGCACATTTTTTCAACATCTTTGGTGTCTAAACATATGCCAATAAAACTGATTTTTTTTTTACAAATTGTAACACAGTTAACACAATTTTATGCAAAAATATAAATGATTTAATTGTGAGAAATTATGTTAACTTCATGAAATATAAAATAATATTATTTTTATTTTATAAAGTAATAATTACTCTCATTATCCTGGTAGAACTTTGAATCTTGTGTGCCTAGTTGTTGTTGTTGTTGTTGTTTTTTTAAAAAAAAAGAAAAAGATTTACTATACCTGTATGCAAAATTTCACACTTCAAACAGTTGTCAATGCCAAGTCTACTCGACCACGAAGACATAATACAGTGATACTAAGTTTGGATCAACAACTTCCTCCACTGAAAGCAGTGGAATGATGTGATTTGCATTATTGTCAAAGGGGTCTCTCAACGCTTTGTCACTAGATCAGTAAATACGTTCACAATTATTTTGCATTCTCTAAACTATTTCTGGTTTTACTAATTATTTGCATATGAACAAAAACTATGACTTTACTAAATATGAATGTGACCTGATTAGTATTACTAATAAAATTTGCATATAAAACTGTAATATAAATATACTGTAAAAGGATTAATTCTTCACTGGGTTTTAATTTTGCTTATTTCGCTGACTGGAAAATGCGCTAAATTAAAACCCAGTGAATATATCAAATTTAGCATAGAACACATTATCTAAGCGATAAAACCATGAATTTAAAACCCACTGAATATGCCTGAAATGGTAAATCAGTGAAATTTAAACCCAGTGAAAATTAGTCATTTTACAGTTACTGTATTATTATTTAAATAAGTTACTTTGAAACAAGTTATATCAACAAGACATGTAAGGTTGACAAACTAGTGTTATTGTCAAAGTAACAAGTGAAATAGCACACTTCATAACTACATAACATAAAGATGGAATCATATAACATATAGATAGATCAGTATAACATGAAGATACGGCCACAGTATCTTTATAATGTGGGCATAGAATCATATAGTATAATAATAGGGTGATATAATGTGGAACTACATAACATAAAAATTAAATAACAGCCACAGTTTCTTATACTGTAATGTAGGCATAGAATCATATAGTATAATGAGACTACACAACATAAAAATGGAACTACAGAACATAAAGCTAGAACTATATATAACATGAAGACAGAACAGTATTTAAAACCATACTTTTACCAGTAATACTTATGCATCAGAGAAATGAGGCAGATATAGTGGGACAACTCTGAAACTGGAAAGTTCTATCTCCAAATCATAGTCTACTGAATATTAACAATAAAGCAAGTTAAATTGGCTGTAGACTAAAATTGAATGGCTATTATGAGGTTGATGTAGAGGCTAAACCAATTTCCTTCCCATAGGCGTTTACGTGCTTCATGCAATAGTACTTTTGTCACAGGCAGCTTTCAATTTTGTGGTCAATCACCTCACTTAAGCACTGTCATTTTGTCATCTGTTATATACACAGACCTAATTAGTTTTGAATAAATCTGTGCATATTAATCACCTAATTTGCATAATGATGAGTAAATTTTGCTTTTCCACTGTATCTCATGGATGATTAGTTTAATAATGAAAAACATGCATACTGATTATCTAATTATTATTAGCCAATTTCTTTTATTTCAAAAAATCAAATTTAAATTGAACTTGTTGTAGAGGTGCTCTGCAATAAATTAGACTGAAAACCACAGATGTAAAATCAAATATATTAAATATAGTTTTGTACATCTCAAATAGCATAACAGACAAATATTAAGTTTCTTGTTTGTAAGGCTATTTAACTTTTAATACATCTCCAATACTCTCAGCACACAGTGCCTCTATCTAAACTTTCTTTACTTTGAACATTCATTTATTACAATACAGCTTATATATAAAATTAAGAATTATTATTATATATAATTCATAATAATATATATAATTATGAATTATTATTTTTCATTAGAGCATTATAAATAAATATTGTATTGTGAAATTTGTTTATTGTTTTGTTGAAAAGTCCTTGACAGTCTGGGAGTTTATGGATGTTTTTATAAAAAAAAATAACATTTAAATTTTATATAACACATGTAATATTGTAAATACAATGTAGCTTACTTACACACTAACATATAAAAATAGAAACACATTTTTGGAAACAAAACTTGATAGTGTTACTATTATGGACAATAAATTAATTCTTGTTACATGTATTATTGCTTCTTTGCATATTATAGATACTACTTGGCAGTTGCCATCCACAGGAATCACTCACCGTATTAGATCTTTATTTGAGAGATCTACATCATGCCGAAATGCCAGACATTGCATACTGATATGGAGAATGTACATATACTTTGAGGTGAGTTATGTTCAGTGCTTACAGTACTATTCATACTGCTTCTCAGCAGTTTTTATTTACTAGGTTTCTTGTGAGTGTTTATTTATTTATTTATTTATTTATTTATTTATTTATTTATTTATTTATTTATTTATTTATTTATTTATTTATTTATTTATTTAATTATTTAATTAATTAATTAATTAATTAATTAAAGTTGTCTGGCAATGTAAATACAATGTACATTGTCTTAGACATGTAAGTCACACATCCTGGTACTACAATTAATTAATTATTTAATTATTTAATTAATTAATTAATTTATTTATTTATTTATTTATTTATTAGGTTCATCATGGTAATAAAGAAAGAGCCAAATCTATATTTTATAGATCACTGCAGCATTGTCCCTGGTCTAAGGTGAGAGTTATTAAGAATGTAAGATTGCTATCGTTTTTGCTTTTAATTATTAGTAACGCATGCACATAAATTACAGAGGTATTTATAATGTCAAAATAAGTAATATTTTAATAACCACTGGGGATGTGCATCTCATATCCATATGTGATGTTATTGTAATTGCATAGCAGTGAGTTGTCAATGTAAATACAATGTACATTGTCTTAGACATGTAAGTCACACATCCTGGTACTATTGTTGATATGACAGCATCACAAACATGCACAAGTTGGTCATTTTAATGTGTCTTTGTATTCATAAATAAAACATTTTGATGAAGTAGATAAAACAAATGTAGGAATTCATGCTGAAATATCAAATAAATATAAATACCAGTATATTATTATTGAAAGTATTTTTGTCCTTGTAAAAGCCTCAGTCAGGTCATTCTATCTTACATGTCCTAAATCTAGTGGGGTGATTCATCAAATGCTTTATTGTTGGTACAATTGTATGAATTGTATGTACTTACTAAAATAACCTATTTTATTCAGGCATTATACATGGATGCTATACTGTACTTCCCGGATGATTTGTTACACATACTAGACATAATGATGGAGAAAGAGATCAGGATAAGGGCTCCATTGGAGGAAATTGAGATGCTCTTAAAAGCTAAACAACAAGAGCAAGCTGGAAACACCAACCAAACAGTACAAGCTGCAGATCAGTGTGGTGATATGGATCAGGATACTGGACACTTAAACCAAGATAATCTGAATAAACAACAAGATACAAGCAAGCAACAGATTCAGTTGATTACTGAATAGACAAATGACTTGTAGAAGACTTTAATTTGGGTCCCATCTGTCCATCTGGATTCATTTTAGATATGTATTGACAGATTTTGGTGCATGTACAGTTTGATTCAGTGAAATATGGCAAACTGTTGTTCGTTTTGAAAGTTAAATATGCTGAAATTCAAACACTTGAATTTATTTATGGTCGTTTAGTGGCAATGACTGAGAAAACTTGTTATGATGAAAGTACATCTTGGGTTGCATTTGTGCATGTTATAATTTCATTTGAAGATTTCAACAAATTCTGATTACATTTACCCAATATTCTACCAGATTTTAATAAAAATCCATGTATATTAATTATCAAATATGCGTATTTTTAACTTCATTACCATTTCCGTAATAGATGAAATTTGTGTGATTGACTGTTATCAGGTTTAAAACATTGTAGTCAAATTCATAGATATGGTGTTGTGACGAAATACACATCTTGTTCCAGCAAGTTTAGATTTAGGCAACTTCTGACATGTACGCTTATAGTGTAATACTTCAATCACCAGTAAACGTCTTAGTCAAGTTCAATTCAGACAAGAATAGATATTTCATCTGTAGATTATTTCTCAGAAAGCAGGATCGTTACTTGCATGTCTTTGATTTTCTATGGCATCTTGTTCTCTCCCAACATGATTGTGGACATGATACCCTGATGTTCTGATTACTGTTGATTCATTAAACCAGTGTACTGTTGAACCGACTACATTGAAAGAGCAGAAACCGCCTCAATTTTACTTTTAGCATGTACCTGGTACTTTTTAGGTAATGCAAGGCAGCTTAAATGATATACTCCTTCCATTCACTAATTGGCTGAATTTCGTAACTCTTAAAGTGGTGTAGCAGTGTTGTTTTTAGCTGCCAGTTAGTTTTTGTAAGCTACAAAAATTATCCCATGCATGTAAAATAACAAACCCCTTGTTGCATTCCTTCACCACTTACCTACTTAGCTAGTCAGTAACAATGATCTTGTTTGAGAAATCTTGTTTGATCTTGCCACTGGAAATGTGTGTTTTTTCTAAATTAAGGAGGAAGTTGCTTTCTAGCTTTTAACAATCTCTGTCTAAAAATCCAGTAGTAATTAAATTCTAGGAAGCGTCAAAGGATTCCTAGAACTCCATCATAGATTTCTAGTCTTACTTGCCGTTTTTCCTCTAAATAATTACTGCACAATACAATAGTGTAACATCATGAGTTAAATATACATGTAAGGAAGGCATGATTATGAAGTTATTCAACAGTTTTGGTGAATTTCTCTATCAGTAGACCTGGACAAGGAAACTGTCTTCCGACCATTAAATGTAGATAAAAAACTACGCTGGATATGGTTATGAGACAGTAGTTTAAAACACACAACTATATCACGTTTAGAGCTAAAGATTCCCATAATAACCACTAATGTGCAAGAAGGGGTGTGGTAACAAATTCATGTCGTGAAATTAGTGGAGTGAGTTTGATTATTTTCTGCAACTTCATCGTGATTATTATCTGACCTCTGTTACCACAGTCAGCTGACACACGCGTGATAATAAAATAAGTACGATAAACCGAAATTGTCATTTAAATGTAATGGCGTCGCTGATTGGCTGCTGAACTGGAATGACAATTTTTGGTTTCAAATACCCCCAGGAAAGTGTTCTATGTTCTTCATGTAATTAGGTGTTCGTATTCAAGGGATTTTTGCCACATAAAAACGACGAATTCGGCCGAAGTTTGTTATCGGTTGGCTTAATATTACCCCAACGCATTTCTGTTCTGATTTGTAGAAATCTGAAAAACGCATTTCACAA